TACATCTGCAGTCCGTTTTATTTTTGATTTTGAGACAAGCTCTTGGTAAGTTGCTGTGGCTGACCTCAAACTTGGGATCCTCCTGCCTCAGCCTCCGAGGTCACTGGCATTACAGATGCACACTGCAGAGCCCGGCTAGGAAGATGTTTCTGGGTGTGAGGCAAGATCCATGGATGGTGGTGGGGGAGGGTGAGGACACCAGCTCAGGTCTGGTGTCAGTCTCAGGGATGGAGGAGCCATGGCCCCTTGGGTGTTTATAGGGGTCAACAGGGTGGAGGCTATTTCAGGAGTTCCAGATGGTTGATCACTTTCCTCTGGAGATTTTTGGACTCAGCAAAGTCAGGGAGGAAGAATGGGAGGAAGACAAAGGTGGCCCAGTCAGTGATCCTGGCGTCTTGTTTCTTGTTACAGGACAATGATCAGACTCTGCTTCCTTTTGTTTCTCTCTGTGGCCACCGAATGGTGCAGCGCAGGTAAATCACTCCAAGGAGCATCAGTTCCCTCTGCTCCCCTCTGGGGCGCCTCACAGCACAGGGAGTAGAGCTGGGCTGGGTTTTAAAGCCCTGGGCCAGAAGAGGAGTCCTGGAGGCGCAGGGAACACACCCGTGGCTGCCAGCTTGAGATGTGGACTTGGGGCAGGTTTCTGGCTTCTCCTGGGTCTGGCTGCAAGGGGGTCAGGGCAGAGACAGAGACTGTCCTCTCCCAGCTGCTCTGCTCCTGTGGCCTTGGCCTTGGATCTGTAGAGGGAGCTGGTAGCCCCAGGTGTCAGAATCTTCCTCTAACTTCCATCCTTCCCGTTCCATTTCTCATGACAGACATGATGGTGATGTGTTCCAGTGTTATTTGGTCTATGGTTTATTTCAGTTCATTCCATCATCAAGTGAAAAGGCACATTTTCATACACTATTTCATTTGCCGTCCACGAGTAAGAAGAGTTTATTGATGGCATTTTTTTTTCCTTTGGTGGAACTGGGAATTGAACAAGGGATGTTTTACCACTGAGCACATCTCAAGCCATTTTTGTGATTTTTCATCTTGAGACAGAGTCTCATTAAGTGTCTGAGGCTGGCCTCAAACTTATGATTTTCCTGCCTCAGCCTCCTGAGTGGCTGGGATTATGGGTGGGAGTCACCATGCTTGACTTCACTTCTGTGCGTTTAGAGCAATAAACAAGGCTCTTTCTCCACTGGTCTCTGCTATTTCCTCCGTTTTAGTTTTCAACCCCATCACACCCTATGGTCCAGCCAAGGAGGCCACTGACCTGTGGTTTCAGCAGATGGGTCTCTGCTTGGTCATCCCCTCATGCTGTTTTGCATGTCTTCTGGAGTGTTCTCTCCCCTTTCCCTCCTGTCTCATAGCCAGTTCCTATTCATTCTGTAAGAATCAACCTGCTCTGAGTGACTTCTGGTCCCTTCTCAGCAGGTTGTCTTTTCCTGTCCCCACAGGTGGGCTTCTCCTTACCCAGTTTCAGTTGGGTCCCTCTCAGGGTCCTTCCTCCCTCTAGGATGCAATCTCTTGAAGAAGTGTGCCAAATTGTCTTTGAGTGCCCAGTGTCTGGGGGGTGCACACAGTAGGGATTTAAGTAAAGTTGGTGGAGTAGAAGACTTCGACTCTTCAGCCTGTGCTAGCTTCTGGATCAGACAGTCTTAGCAGAGGGAGTCCCTGATTTCTTGGATTTTCAGAACAGTGATGAGCTGAGACAGTGGGCTGGGTGGAAACTAATGTCCAGTAAGGACGGTCTCAGTGGTACCAGACCTGTTAATGAGAACTGTTCTCACATTCTCTAGCAGTGGCCCGTTCTCCTGAGATGTTCTGGGAGGATGAAGAATGTGCCTCTTCCTTTTCTTCCCTGCCTAGAAGCTGCAAGGAAATCAAAAAAACTTGCCAGAAAGCAAGAGGTAAGTAATGAACCAACCCAGCATTCTCTCTTTGAAGAACCTTTTTTAGTGCAACACAGCTTAGTCATGGAGATCAAGAGGAACAGAATCTGTTCTGGCTCCAATTTTCACCCCAAAGAGGTTTCCAGTGGGTCTTTCTTCGTTTCTGCACTGGGGATTGAGCCCAGAGGCACTCTTACTACTGAGCTAAAAATCCAGATTTTTTAGTTTCTTCTATTTTGAGACAGGGTCTCACTAAGTTGCCCAAGCTAGCCCTGAACTTGTGATCCTCCTGCCTCAGCTTCCGGAATAGCTGGGATTATAGGTGTGCACCACTGTGACCAGACTCTGGTGGGAATTTGAGGTGTTTGTGTTCCATGCAGCACATGATCTTCTGAACACAGGGAACATGCAGTTTGCCAGTGATCTTGGGTGGTGGCAAGAACTGTGAGGACCTAAATCCTCCTCAACTTGTGAACCATCGAGTTAGTCTGCTGCGGGTTCAGGGATGATAGCACAAAGCGTGAGATTCCAGAGGCAGAGACATAGAACTTCCTTAGTCCATCAAAGCAGAAGCCAGAGTATCAGTATCTTCTTGAGCCTGGCCAGGTGACATCTGTACGTGTAGTTTGTCAAGCAGGCTGACAAATGTGGCCAGTAAAGAAACAAGCTGGTGGCGGTGGCACATGCCTATAACCCCAGTGACATGGGAGGCTGAGGAGGGAGAATCACAAGTTCAAGGCCAAAATAAGAAAGAAAAAGCAAACAAATGAGCTCTTTGTAGAGTCAGGTAGTTTCTTACAGAAATGGCAAGATCAAGATTAGCAAAGGTGTCAGCTTTTCTGATTCCTTGTCCTGTGGGCCCAGGAGAAAGGGCCGGTTGACGATGTGACGTGGGTCGCAGGGTGCTCTGATGCTGAGGAGCCAATCTGTGTTGCAGTCAGCAGTCTCATAGGCTGTGACGGAACCCTAAGGGGCACAGGTAAGATGAAGCAGAAAGCCTCAGAGCTCCTCAGAATCTGGGAGGCAATGAGAACTGTCCTGACGGCTGAGCAGCGACGACAGCTTCCATGGAAGTCAGGGGGGCGGGGAGGGGTGACCACGGAGGAGCCCACATAAGCTTCCCAAGTTGCCGTGGTTTGGGGGGAATCACGGGCTTTCTGGTAAGATCTAGGTGAGCTGCCTGTGGGGCCAAGGGAGAAATGTGCCAGGTGCTCACAGGGACCAGCCCCCTGCAGGTTGTGGAGAAGAGGCCCACTCTGAACTTGGGGAATCTGAGTCCCACATTAAAGCCCAGGAGGCATGTGCTCTGAGAAGTGCAGGGGCCTCATTCTGATCTCTGCTGAGATGAGGCTCCATGAGGATTTCTGGCCTCTCCTGTCCAGAGGGAGGCTGTCTCTAAACGACGGAACCATCTTTCTGTATGTGCTTTATAAATTCTTTGAGAAGAATTAGTGTTAGGACAATGCAGAGTGGGAGGACAAAGGAGGAAGCCATCAGCTTTGCTGGTGGGAATCTTAGGGGAGAGGTCTCAGAGAAGTTTAAGGAGAGACTTGAAGGATAATATGTGTCTGGGGTGCTGGAGCATCAGATTGAGGTGGGAGGGCATGAGGCAAGGAAGGACTGTGAGGTCTGATGTGTCCCAAAAGTCAGCTCACCTAGATCTGACCTCTGGTGTGGCTGACAAAGCAGGACTCCCCTGCCAGATGGTGTGTGTCACCTGTGTGACTAAGAGCACAGAACAATGGTGGTCAACACCTCTGCTTTAGAAGGGAAGAAACACGAGATACCCATGGAGGATTCTTATTTTCCCCTTGGAGATAAGTGAACAGTGTGAGAACCTTCAGAATACAGTTTTAGCTCCCAGGGCATTCTGGTCTTACGGCTCAGATGGACCAGGAGCTCGCAGACAGGGAGACTGGGCTGGTTCTCTCCACAGATGGCCTGTATTTCCTCCGGGCCAAGGATGGTGCCGTCTACCAGACCTTCTGTGACATGACCTCTGCGGGTGGTGGCTGGACCCTGGTGGCCAGTGTGCACGAGAACAACATGGCTGGGAAGTGCACGGTGGGCGATCGGTGGTCCAGCCAGCAGGGCAACAGAGCAGACTACCCAGAGGGGGACGGCAACTGGGCCAATTACAACACCTTCGGGTCTGCAGGGGCGGCCACCAGTGACGACTACAAGGTGGGTGCCACTGGGAAAGGGTGAGGACCTCTGTGTGGCTGGGCACAGCATGCAGGAGGTGGGTTGGGAGGGGGGCTGCAGCCATGGGGCTGGAGCAGAAGAGAAATAACTAATGTCTTGTATCCCAGTGTCAGGAGCCTCTCTGAACAGAATCTGTGTGCACACCCTTAAGTCCTGAGTAAAGGGGTACTGAACAGTTATTGCAACCCGAAATACATTAGGCTTTACCTCCATTGGGATAAGGAAAGTGTGGCTTCAGGAGTTGGTGTCACCTGATGGAGCTGAATTACACTCTCCTCTTCCTTTCTAATCCTACCCCTTTGCCCTTTTTGGGATAGAATGTTCCATGGAACATCCCCTTGTGTGTTCCCTATATAAGAATAAAGAATTCCAGTGGTTCTCTCTCTTTCCATGAACCCCTAAGGTCACAGAGCCACCCCCTGATTTTGAAAAGGTACATCTGTGTGTTTGCGTGCTTTCTTTGTCATTTTCTTAAGTTATTGGAATAGTCAGATTCTGTGAACCCAGCATGGGTCACCAGCTCAGATAGATGGCGATATCCAGCTTCCTCCCACAAGGCCATGAGGCAGCGGGGTGGTGGTGGGGGCATGATCTCCTGGAGGTGGGTGTGTGTGAGCACGGCTGGCCATCTGTCCACCTGGAGCTCAGAGCTGTCAGCTCAGCTGAGAAAGCCCATGTGTGTCTTTTGCTCCTGTGGGACCTGGGCTGGTCAGTCTCAGTATTGGTTGCTTTCCAGAACCCTGGCTACTATGACATCCAGGCTGCGGACCTGGGCATCTGGCATGTGCCCAACAAGAGCCCCATGAAGAACTGGCGGAACAGCTCTCTGCTGAGGTACCGCACCACGTCTGGCTTCTTCAAGCATTTGGGACACAATCTGTTTGGCCTCTACCAGGTACACAGAGCTGCTGGCTGGGGAGCACTTAAGTGTTTGGGGTTGGGGGACAAATCAGCTCTCTGGAGCCATGTCCTGAGTGAGTGGCTGGGAAAATCAAAGCCACTTCTATTTGAGTGGTATTTTAATGAGTTCACTGAAATATCATGCATATCCCAGGAGCTGCAAGTGGGTGTGTGTGAGCACAGGTACATCTGTGTGTTTGCGTGATTTCTTTGTCATTTTCTTAAGTTATTGGAATAGTCAGATTTTGTGAACCCAGCATGGGTCACCAGCTCAGATAGATGGCGATATCCCAGCTTAGGGCAAGGGAAGAGCCCTAAGGGAGAGAAGAGAGGGAAGAAAGAGGAAGAGACACAGAGGACTTGGGACTCTTGGGGAGATCCTGCTATGGGGAAGAAGGAGTCGTCATTATTAGGACTAGTTTCTGAGTAATGACAGTTGACTTGAAGGGATCCATTTTCTGTCCAAAATGGCGGCATATCTACTGTCCTTACAAAACTTTTCTTTTTGGTTCCTGTAGAAATACCCAGTGAAGTATGGATTAGGGAAGTGTTGGAATGACAATGGCCCAGCAATACCTGTGGTCTACGACTTTGGTGATGCTCAGAAAACCGCATCTTACTACTCACCTAATGGACAAAGTGAGTGTTTGCTCCCAAAGTCCAATCAGAAGTCCTTTCTTGAACTCTTGGTGAAAGAGGGAAAGAGGGTAAATAACAATAATAAAGAACTGCTAGACAGGGTCAGAAGTGCATTCTTTTCATCCCAGCTACTCTGGAGGCTTGAGGCAGGAGGATTGCAAGTTTGAGGCCAGCCTCAATAACCTAGAAAGACCCTGTCTCAACATAAATAATAAAATGGGTTGGGGATGTGGCTCAGTGCCAGAGCACCCCTGCATTCAATCCCCAGTACCACCACCAAAAAAAGCAAAAGCTAGTATTCACTTATTGAGCTGTTAAAATATGTCAGACTCATTTCTAGGAATTTGACATGATTCTGTGTCATTACATACAAGAAAATTATGCGGTTAGGATTACAATTTTCTCCATTTTATAGGGAATAAACCCAGCCTTCCTAACTACCTCCCTGTGCAGCCTCTTATAATAGTTAAGAAAAGGCAAAGGCTAATGTTTACAGGAAAGAACTAGCAAAGTGGCGAGGAAGATTTGTTTTTATTTATGTATTTGTTTATTCTGGTCCTGGGAATTGAACCAGGGGCACTTAACCACTGAGCCACACCCCCAGCCCTTTTAAATATTTTATTTAGAGACAGGGTCTCACTGAGTTAGGGCCTTGCTAACTTTCTGAGGCTGACTTTGAACTCATGATTCTCCTTTCTCAGCTTTTAGAACCACTGGGATTACAGATATGCAACACTGAATCCAGTGAAGATTTATTTTTATTTTGAAGGATAGCTATTAATTTTCTTAAAAGTGAGGCACTAAGCAACTCACTGAGACCCTGTCCCTAAATAAAATACATAATTGGGCTGCGGATGTGGTTCAGAGTTCAAGTGCTCCTGAGTTCAATCCCTGATACCCCCTACTCCAAAAAAAAAAAAAAAAAAAAAGACTTTTTTTTCAGTATCATAAAACCACAGAAATTAAGACTTGGATCAGAAAATCAAAAGCCATTGCCTTTTTAAAAATTTTTTGTATGTTTGTTAATGGACCTTCATGTTATTTATTTATATATGTGGTGCTGAGATTTGAACCCAGTGCTTCACACATGCTAGGCAAGAGCCCTACCACTGAGCTACCACTCTCCTACTGTGGAGAGCAGTGAAAGAGTATGGGAGAGCAGTGACTGAGATTGGGAGTCTCTGATGACCTCATGATTGGGGCATGCCTGGTGCCTTGGAATGTTTCTGCGCCAGGGCACAGGATGCTTAGCTGCTGTGGGAATGCCCTGCGTGAGGAGGCTCTGTGTACAAGTCTTATCAGCTTCCACCGTGATCTCAGGCACACAGCTCCTGGGAATAGAGGAACTCTCTTGCTGACTACACAATGTTTTCACCAGCTCTGTGACTCCTGAGCCTGTCCTCTTAACAGTACCTTTACACTTATGCAGCTTTTCCACAGCTGCAATGTGCAATGTTAGGAGCACTCCACAAAGCTCCTAACATTGCACGTTGCAGCTGTGGAAAAGCTGCATAAGTGTTTCTAGTCCTCTAACTTTCCTGAATACAAAGAATAATTCATGCAGAGTCTTTAACCTGATAATGAGACATATATAAATGGAGATTGCTGGAGTAACGCTTCAGACCTGCTTCTCCATCAGAGAGCAGCACTCCACCCGACCCCAGCTTTATCTTCAAAATTATATGTGTGTGTGTGTGAGTCTTTATTTTTCTTATCTCCCTTCACTCCTCGCTGGAACCTTCTAGTTTGGCCACACTGGTTGCTGCACCCTACTGTTTGCTTAAACTTTAACGACAGTGGGAAGGCAGGTGATGCTGGGAAAACAAGCCCATGGTCACTGGCTGAGATGGGTGTCAACAGCAACAGGTGGCTGCATCTGACAATTGCTTAACCTGCTCAACTTTACATAGCAATCTTTCTTTCTATTTTCTTCTTATTTAGTGTTATTGGTGATTGAGTCCAAGGGTATTCTACTACTGAGCTATCTCTCCAGCTCTTTTTATTCATTTATTTTTTTGAGACAGGGTCTCACTAAGTTGCTGAGGCTGGCTTAGAATTTATGATGCTCGGGCCTCAGCCTCCTGAGTCACTGGCATTACAGGCTGCACCACCCTGGTGGGCCTGGTGAGCTTTCTGTCCAGTCTGATCTCTCCACAATCTTTAGGAAAACAAGTCTTCTGTGAGTTCCAGCCTCTTACTCCAGATGACAGAGGTTCCCCCAGGTCAAGGTCAGGGCTGGGATGCATCCACCACTGGCCAAAAGGGTGTGGGGCTTTGATGTTTGGCTGTAGCCTAAACTTTTGGCTTAGGGCATCTTCATCTGGTTAAAAAAGAAAATGCTTCTCGTTGTTGTTATTATTATTATTATTTAATACTGGGAATCGATCCCAGGAGCACTTTGTCACTGCACTACAGGTCCAGTCTTTTTTTAATTTTGAATTTTGAGATAAGATCTCACTAAGTTACTGATGGTCTCACTACATTGGTGTGCTGGTGTTGAACTTGGGATCCTCCTGCCTCAACTTCCTGAGCTGCTGGGATTGCAG